AAATAAATTGTGACCTACTATTTAAACCAATAAATACAATTTAATTTGATAAAATGTTGGCAGTTGAAAAGATGATCTAAATATTTTAATGAATATTTTTTACACGATAAAGGAATTCACTCATAGACATCTAATACATTTTACATGATTATTTTTTCTGTTTCATCAGATAAATCGTCGGAATACTCATATTCGTCTTATTTAATATATAAAGTTCTCCCTATCAAAAATAATGTTTTAAATTTCTTAGCTCTTGTCATGAATTTTTCTTACGGTCCAAAGAAAATATTTTCCTCTAATATCCTGTGCACCCTTCTAGATTTTATGATGAATCGTTTGTTGCTCTTGGAGTAAGACTCTGGAACTCCTTACCCCAATCAATTAAAAGTGCTCAATCCTTAAATGTGTTCAAGAAACAGATTAAGGTACACTATTTTTCTCTTTAACCCCTCTCTCTTCCTCTTCTTAGTTATGGTCATTGATTTACCTAAAGAATTGACTTGTTAGTTCATAAGCAGGTATAGACTAGATGTGTACCTATAAGCCGCTTGAATCTGACTTACATAAAATATTTGCATGCGTTACTACATTTACGTCATTGTTATCAAGTTTTATCTATAAGATGTTGATATCAATTGTAATAAGAGACAGGATTGAATATTTTCATATTTTCGAATTTGTAGAAATTGAGAAGAAAACAACTTTTATATATGAATTAACTTAGACTTAGATATACTTACATTTTGTTTTTACATTGGCCTCAACTCTGTTGAAATCGTTTACTTACTTCATCCGTAGCATAGGTATAACTGCAGCATGGCTCTACGTGGTAGAGCCATGCTGCAGTTATATTAGTAGTATAGTTGTAGCACGAATGGGTCAGCTCGACCGGGGAAGGACCACGCTGTCACAGAATACCAGCGTGAAATAGTAACTTAAGGCTGCTGTATTTCGTATGGTGAGTGTAGAGAACAGGAGACCCTTTTTACTGGAAATGAGGCATTCCATATTAGTCCTCACGGGTGACAACGCATCTGCATTTTGATTTTTAATGGAGGACAGATGTAGATGTCTACGGGCCGCAGCATCCACTTACCATCAGGTGCACTGTGTGCTCGTTTGTCACCCTATTCTATAAAAAAAGGCTACACCTAGTTTGAGGTTAAGATATTGTACATATTTGGGAATTCTTTTAAAATAAATTAAAATTCTAAATTATAAGCTTTAAATACCAACCAATTACACTTCTTTACCTACCTACTTCAAACATTGCGAAAGCACAGATCGTGCACACTAATATAAAACACACTTACTAATGTAACGCACACACACACCCACACACACACACACACACACACACACACACACACACACACACACACACACACACACACACACACACACACACACACGCACCGCACGCACGCACGCACGCACGCACGCACAGGCACGCACCCCACGAACACACAAACATATTTAGGTTATGTAAATAGTACTAAATTGTAAATTAATAGCATTTTTAAGAAATTCTACGTTTAGAAATATGACTGCCATAATTTTTTTAAAGATGTATTAATATACCAATTGTTGGTAATCCCAATAAAGAGAAAACAGTTGAAGACTAAATTGCATTAGAACTCAAAAACTCCATACTAAATAATTTATTACTTATTTACAATACTTTAAATTAAAATCGTGAAATAATAATAATTTTAGACGGTAAACTCGATATCATGTATCTTATCGCAACTTACCTTACCATACCTTATCGCAACACAGATTACTAATTACAAAATTAAGTTGCTAATACGACTATTTTTAATCTCTTCATAGCATTAATTTTCAATATATAAGGTTGTAATATTCGCAATTTACATGAAAATGCACTGTCGTTTGCAGAAAAGATTTACATGCTCTTACTAGTACTTTCTGAAACACGTTTAGTCATTGTTATTGTTTTTTTTACATATTGTAAGTCGTTGCTTGACTACAATTCAACCTGGTGGTAACTGGTGATGTAGCATGAATAAGTTAGTAAATGAAATAATCGCAGATAAATGCAATTGTCTATGGGCCACAGCATCCACTAACCATCAGGTGGACTGTGTGCTCGTTTGTCACCCTTATTCTATAACAAACCCTCCCCACAACTGATTGAGACCCACACACAGCAGTGGATAGTTACGTGCTTATGATCATGACAAAGAACTATTTTTCTGTCGTACGTGGAGGAGTCATGACGCAGCTGCATTATAGTTAAAGCACAAGTCGGTCGGCTCGACCGGGGAAGGACATCACCCTCACAGAATATCAGCGTAAAACAGTAGCTTAAAACTGCTGTGTTTCGAAAATGTAGAGACCCTTTTTACTGAAAACGAGGCATTTCAGCTTAATCGTCAGTGGTGACTAAGTATCTACATTTTGATACTAAATCAATGATAGATGTAGATGTTTACGGGCCGTAGCATCTACTTACCATCAGATGGACTGTGTGCTCTTTTGTCCCCTTATTTTATATAAAAACATATTGCATGGCCAAGTTGCGACTTACATAATCGTAGAAGCCCGTAGTAACTGATATTTTCAGTACTTTGTTTATATTTAGCTGTGGCTAAATTACTTCATAAAAATTGAGGTTCAACTTCAGCACGATTTTAATTTACGTTTTTCGTTATTATCACCAGGTATCATCATACTTGCTTGTACTCCGTTTTTATAAAAAAACCTGATCTGATAAAGTTTTAGTTTTAGTTGTCTATTCATCACAATCAGCCCGCAGCATCCCGCTGCTTCACATAGGCCTTTCCAAATTCTCATCAATTTATTTAAAAAAATGAATTTAATTATAATCGGACGTGGTCAAAATTATACCTGGTACTTTTGTTGGAATAAAACTCTGGTAAGAAGAGAACTTACAGTCGTAATGACCAGAATATTTTGAAGAGAAAGAGAAGTATTTGCTTTATATAATTAATTGTAGATTTACTTTCAAATATACTAGAGACTGATTTGATAGGTCTATAAGAATAAGCGCATTTTTATAGAAGCTTGCGGAATCATAATATATTTTTAATATAACATAATTTGAAGCTAAAAGCGGAGAGGTAGTTCTCTAATATCGCTTAAAACACGCAATTCACTGGGCTTAAATTTTCAACACATTTGTAAAATATGTTAGAAGGAAGTTGAAATTAACGAATCTTGTGGAATTGAAAATCTTTTATTATAAATTATTAGCACCTTTTGCCATCTCAGTAACACATCGTGCAAAGAAGTAAAGAAAAATAAATGCTCCTGAATTTTAAAAATGTCAATAGCTCTTTACGTTCTATAATCTATTTTGGTTTTGGAAACAAAATGAGATAAATTAATAAAATCTAACTCAATATCTCATGTCTCACAATAAAATTATGACAAATAATATTTCAAAAAAAATTGAAAAATCGAAAAGTTCAGCTTCTAAGTTGTCGAGGATCATAGTTTTTAAATTTTTATGATGACTCGCTGTCGCCGGCTTGTCGATCGTTAATTTTATCTTCAAATGGAAGTCGCGATAAGTTTCGAGTATGAATATCACCTGCTTTGTAAATAATTACGTCAAAAATAAATATAATATAATAAATGAACGTTTCTGAGCTGACTAAAGTATTTAACAAATGTTTTACCGTTTCAATATACTGTCGTAAATGGCTAATTAAAGACTTTTAGAATGCACACAATTTGAAAACGGCTACTTTTTATAGAATTGGGGTGACAATCGAGCACACAGTCCACCTGATGGTAAGTGGGTATTGTGGCCCATAGACAACCATATTTACACTCAAGTATCAAAATGCAGATGCGTTGTTACCCCTGAGTATTAACATGGAATGCCCCGTTTCCAATAAAATTTATTTATACACTCGGTTAGAGCACAACCTAACTAGTTTTAGCGTCTTTTTTCACTAGTTCTGTTTGTGACCGTCGTATAATTATAGAGAATATGACAATATTTATACATACATCATGCATATTGCCACGAAGAATAATACTGCATGTTTCATAATATCGTCATTTTAATTCTCAAGAGTGACAACATACGTATCTGTAGCTATCTTCATTTGAAATTGGTTGCTACTAACTGTAGTGTTATTCTAACTAAAATCTATGAAATATACAAACGTAACTATTGGCACGCGAATTGTCACTATCCATAAACACTGAATAGGTAATTCGTCGATCCTGGCAAACACTTGTATGCGTTTTCTGTTTTGATACCTGTACAAGTAGATAATTGGTAATTCACGACGCATATATGTAAATGGGATCCTTATATACATATTATGATGAGTTATTCTTAAGAATTCGCACCCAAGACGGTTTCTTGAATGTATCTCTTGTCATAATCTTTTTTGACGAATCTAATTAGGAACTCTGTGGGAGAACCAGTAGTAAACAAATTGCTTACTTTGCTGCATAAATTACTTACTAGTAGTTATATTTAAGTATTACGTAGTATGAGTCCTACAAATAAATCGGTAGCCTTTATAGATGTAAACTGTAGGTATATTTGATACCTAGATACAACGCTCAGATATCTTTAGTGAGTTTAGTGGCTATAAAAATCACGGCTCGGTTGGCTAACAACGCTTAATGTGCGGTTACACGTTATCGCAGCCGTATCGAGTGTTGTTTGTGGTATATCGGTTAATCAAATTGGGAGCGTATCGATATCGCGGACGTCTTTAGATAGCGCACCACTTTTATCTTAATTGATTGTCTCTTTTTTTGACAAAACACCGACTTAGGTATTACCGTTTCATTTGTTTGATGTTGTGCAAACGAGTTTGCTAAACGATTTTTATGCTTTCAGGTACTAGGAGAGAAGGCCCGACGTGTTTGGGCGCGTAAGTGACTACGATGCTGGGACTGAACTCGATTGCGACCTTTTAATCGAGTGTTTGACTGTTGAAATGCGGATAGCGGTGTGGACTTAAAGTGCGTGTTTATAAAAGCGATGCATGGTTTGTGAGGTCGGAGCGGCGGTCATGGACATGAGTGGCGAGGGTGGAGCGGGTGCGGGGGCGGGCGCGCTTCAGCAGCGGTGGTACGACAGCCGCGTGAACGGCAGCCCGGCCGCCGCAGACGTCGGCTCCGACGCGAACGGCGACGGCTTCTTCCACTCGCCGCTAGAGGGCGGACATCACAGTCGCGCCCGTTACTACCATCAACAAATGCACGCCCCCTATTCTGCCGCAGTCGGCTCGCACGGTAAGTTTTATCCGAAACCTCTTTTTTCAATTGCAATTTTGATTCTCAACAGATTATTGTCTTGTTAATATTATTCTTAATATTTTAAAAATAATGAATCCATAATTTGCGACACTTTTTATAGTATTTGAGATAAAATATTTAAGGGGAATATAACCTCAAATGGCGTATCAAGATCCTCCGTTATACCGAAAATATTGCAGCATTAATTTTGAAATAAATATATGGTAAAGTTGAGGATTAATGTTAAGTTAAGAAGCTTGGAACCGGGCTGCAGGAAACAAGCTTCAGGACGCCGATAATTTAGGTAATTTCTTTTTACAGTGAAAATAATGGTAATTAAAAAAAATAACTGAACTAACTAAAAAGCCCTGCTGTATAGTTCAGTTAGTATGCAAAGTTTCATAATCTTATTTAAAGTATTTTATGAATAACAGCTGTTTATTGTTCAGTTTGGAGGTAACTTTGGACTTTTTTACTATCGAGAAAATTTTACGGAATCGTGTTTTCGTCTAACATGTTAATCCTCAACTTTATCATATATTTATTTTAAAATTAATGCTGCAATATTTTCGGCATAACGGAGGATCTTGCTAAGCCATTTGCGGTTATATTTACCCTTAATTTTAATTTCAATTTAGGAGGATCTATAAATAACCGTGATCTTACAATCTCTAAAAAGTAAGCAGAAGTCGGAGCAGTAACAATTAAATACGCTAAACGGGTCTGTAATTCCGCAAACGAAACTGTCAGTATTTAAAGCAAATTGCTGGCGCGATCGGCAGCATGCAGGCTGCCCGAACCTTATCGTACATCGGACGATATCTCTCCAGAACTCCACAATTAATTCAACGGACCCGACCAGTCAAAGTCGCCATTCTGTAAGGTGACAGCTTAGGTAAACACGATCTAAAATGGGTCTCGACCGTAAAAGAAAAAAAAGTATAATTCCATAGTTTTTATTTTTTCATTTGAGGTTTAAATTTTATGGCCGCTATAAAGTTTTTCGTGGGGACAGGTGCCTCTTCTTTAAAATTTAACTACTCGCTCGTACTTGTACGGAACGTCGTCTGTAATAGGGTCCGTAAAGACTAGATTGGCATGCGACCGGTACACTTAATTTATTAAACGTTGTGTCGGTAGTGATGTGACACTTAAGAAACTGTGTCAGTTCTCGGAATTGGAACTGGGAATCGATATGGTCCCGTCCGCAGCAGTTATGTGCTGTTGTTTATGTGTGTCCTGTCTTTAATTCGATTTTTAGCCTGTTTGTAAACTCGACCTGTTATCATGTTATGTTGACAGTCACGACGCGGCTTCTTGTCGCTTTGATCAAATCTAAATCTGTTGAATTCATTTGTCGAAACACAGCAGCGAGTGTTTCGATTAGGTACTATTAAGTTATGTGAAACATGGGATTCTTTATTTTTATAAAACACGTTGAGTTTATCAAAAATTGGTATCGGCTTCTCATATATATATTTAACATGGTAGAGACAAGCAGCTATATTTAGTATTAGGTTGTAACACAAAGTTGGCTCGACTTTTGAAGAACCACTTTTTCATAGAATATCACCAAATAGTCTACATTGTAAGCTACAATTGTGCTACAAGTGTTTCCTATACTCACCGTAATACAGCTGCTCTTGAACAGGACCAGGGGCCGTTTTTACTGGTAACGAGACTTTCCATCTTAGTCCTTAGAGATGACAAACACATCTACACTTTGATTTTTAATCAAGAAAAGATTTAGATGTCTATGGGCCACACCATCACTTACCATCAGGTAGATTGTGTACTCGTTTGTCACCCTTGTACTGGTATATCATAAAAATATATGCCTCCAATAATTTCTCGTTGCATTTCTTATACATCAAATATGTCTATCCCTGGTTTGTAATCCTTTTTTATTGCATTAGGTACATATATTATTTTTCAAATTAGTATGTGTGTAATTTTCGGGATTGTAATTAATATAATTGTAACTTCAGAGACTTCATTGGATAGATATTTGGATAGATATGGAATTTATTTAACGGAAATTAGTGTATTTCCATAGAAACGATTGTGAACTTTATTAATCATTCAAACTTAATAAACAATATTTTATATTTCTGGACAAAAGTGTCCGTTCTTATTCATGACAGCCTATCAGAACCTACTACTGAACGTAAGCATCCCCATAAATTGTTTCAATCAGTTATTTTTAATTTAAAGTTATTATTACAAAGACGCAACTACTCGGCTTTTCGTCTATTTCGTTACTTATGACGATATGGGGTACCTAGTGGATAGATATTGTTACAACGTCACTATACGAATATACGAATATAGTATGATAGAAATTAAGTTTTAAGAATATATCATTGTGTTAATTATATGTATGTGTATTTGTTGACAACAACATCCTTATAGCGGAATGTGCATTGAGTATTAGGTTTGAAACACAGCGGTACTTAAAACCTTCTCCAACATTCCTCGAACTGTCTCTGTTTTATTGTAAAAAAAAACGTCAGTTGTGTTTGGTGAGTGTAATACGATACAAGGAGAGGGCATCCGATTTGACACGCACTCTATAATTTATGGTTTGGTGACGCGATTGATGACATGGATGAAATTATTTATTTCACTCCATTTGAGATGCAGCTTTATTAGTTAGGTTTTGTTTTATTTAACCAGAAAATCACATACATAATTGGAACACAAATGTAGTAAGTACCTAAAGTTCGAGGGAATTGATATTGTTAAAATATAACATAAATTGCTGGATTTTGGTCTCATAGTAGAGTAAGTTTCCCAGAATCGCTATTTGCGCTTGATGAATAGACGGATCCGTAGCGCAGTGGGTTCGGTTGTTGCGCTACGGAGCTACGGATTCGAATCTCGCACGGAAAAAATGTTTGTATTGTTTATTAATAATTGTTTCGGGCCTTGATCTGTGTTTGCAATTTATGTATGTAAATTGCCTCCACGTTACAGGAGAAAATCTTACGATGGCTACAATGTTTAAAAAAATAGGAAAATATACGATTTCAAGAGAAAGGACCATTTGCCGCTGCTCCTTAGAATGTTTTAGATTTGATATATCCACGATGGTTGTACTCCTATCTATCACAGATCATGCGAACTTTCTAGCACTTCCCACAGTCACTTCTTACGGCACCCACACAATGGTTCAGATAAGTAAGCTCTCTTACACTAGCACAGAATTGTAATAGAAAAAAAAAACAATGATTCACAAAACTATAACATTAAAATCCCATAAAATATAAGTGAAATAACTAACAGAAAATTCGCATTGTTTGTGCTTTACGCTTTTATGAGTTTCGCGTGTATCTATCTATCTATGTAACGGAATCTTTTATTGTAATTTTCACTAACTTGTAGACGACCAATTGACTTAAAAATTTGTACGAGGACCGACCGAAGTTAACAAATTTATCCTACTATCCTGATCAGAATCATCAGGATAAAATAAAATAATTTTATCTTTAGTGTTTCTATAGTTTTTATACCTCCTGTAATTTATTATTAATGTCAATGATATGATCTAGACATTTCCCTTTCCCTTCTTAGATATTGTACAAATTTGTGACATAGTGTATAGATATTAGGTAGGTACTAAAACTAACAAAAGTTAACACATCTTTGAACATCTTTCCATATTATTCTATTTATTGACTTCACAGAGATGTAGTAATGTCAAACATTAATATTTCTACGATTTCTATCTAAAAAAAATACAAACATCGTATTTTGTTTGTGTGTGATTTACAAATTATAGCATCTAAATCTTGAGTTGATGTTTGTAGCGGCGGCGTCGGAGAATTCATAACTCAAAGCTTGGAAGTAAAGGAAGTGGTTATGAAAAGTGCCACGATGATCTGATGACATTTAACAACAAAGTCATCCAGACCGAATTTCGGTCACAACAGCCAGAGACTAGTCATCTGCGGGACAGGATTATAGCACCCAAGTGTATACGCAAACACAGGTTCTCACTTTATCCTGTTACTATCATAGTCCGATCGGACAGTAATTAAACACGACTGGAGAGAGATCAGATGCAAGAACAACGGTGTTACGTGCTATCCGAGGGTTAAATACCACCAACTTATTGACTCCGGGCTCCAATTGAGAATTTATTGGCATGAAAACCTAATAAACGATTTTGGCTTGACCTGAGATTCGAACCAGGGACATCATGATCAGCAATCTCAGTTACTAGCACCAATGAGACAGTCAATAAGATAAAATACCTTGACATGCAACAGGGAGCAGCTCTAAGTATATCACTATAATCGTCTGGAAGGCGACTCCCAGATCTCTACTATGACGTAAACATTGCCAGCCAAGAGTGGTGGTTACAGTAAAATCTTCTTACGTTGGTAGGAGCACATGTCCACCAGTTACTACTCAAAGGTTAAATTTAATCAACATCTGTACGATACTTTGATAGGTACGTATATTTTTAGGCATATTCGCTTAAAAGTCTGCGAATATTATGGTTGAATGAAACGAATGCATTTAAAGAAAACACCAAACCGCACACAGTTCAATAAAATAAATATATTTATTCAATTTCACATCCAGTATCAGCCATTCATTGATGATTTCACGCGTATTAAGTAATGTCAATCGTCCCCACCCGTCATACATTTCAATATCGACTGTACTTAAACAGAATAGTTAGATATTAAAATTCTCCTACCACACCTCTTTTAATTAGCCCAAGCTTTTAACGCATATCGGAAAAGCTATGCCACATTTTTCTGTCCAATTAAAATTTTGAGTTAAAATCACATATTATTATCATAGGTAATATTTATCAATGTTTAAAATTCTCCTACCACACCTCTTTTAATTAGCCCAAGCTTTTAACGCATATCGGAAAAGCTATGCCACATTTTTCTGTCCAATTAAAATTTTGAGTTAAAATCACATATTATTATCATAGGTAATATTTATCAATGTAAATATTTACAAAACAAAAGACTTCA